GTAAAACATTGCCCTAGCCAGGTTGGCTCTGTGAATAGAGCGTCGGCCTGTGGACTGAAGGTCCCGGTTTCAATTCTGGTCAAGGGCACATGCTGGGGTTGCGGGCTCAATCCCCAGTGTTGGAGTATGCAGGAAGCAGCCAGGAGGCAGCTGATCAATGATTCGCTCCTATCAGTGATGTTTCTATCTCTGTCTCTCCCTCTCCCTACCTCTCTCTGAAATCAATAAAAATAAAATAAAAATTAAAAATAGAATGAATGCTTAAATAAAATACCCCCAACCCCTATGTAAGTGGAAGGAAATTTGGCAAAGTAAGAAAAGAAAAAATCAATGACATCCAGAGTCCTACCACCCCCAGAAGATAATTACTATAAACATTTTTGATGCATTGCATTTTATGTTTAATATGACTAGTTTTTAAACCACTACATGTTAACATACAGTGATATGCATAAAATGTGTACTCTGGTTCATTTCAATGCTTTAATATTAATATTTTTACATATTACTAGAAGTCACTTTAAACAATTTTTATTTGCTACATAATATACAACTTTATAAATATAATTTGCTTAACTATTACACTTTGGTGGACACTGAAGTTACTTCTAATTTTGTGCAGTGCTGTCAGAGTATTAGCTTTGACAGATTCCCAAAAGTGAACTATTTGCAGAGTATGAACAGCCCACCAGTGTGGCTCAGTGGTTAAGCATCAACCTATGAACCAGGAGGTCACGGTTCTATTCCTATTCATGGTACATGCCCAGGTTGTGGGCTCAAGAGTATTAATATTTACTTATATTCCTGAAACATACGTTCAAAATTGCTTTCTAAAAAGTATGTACTAATTCCCACCCACTCTAAAGGTGAACTCGACTCACAGAACTTATATCAACAAGTGTTATATAATTTTTTATTTTTGCTAATGTGAAAGACAAATAATGGTGTAATTATTATTTTAATTAGTATTTTTAAAATGTAAATGAGACTATATGATTTATACAAATACACAAATACATTCACCACAGTCTCCTGTGTCACTTCTTCTGTGAATTGCTATTTTTGTGTTGTTGTTTTCTTGTTCATTTAACAATAAAATGCACCATCCTCAATTTCTGTTATTCTACTAATACTCTCAATTCAGTATACAAAAGACTATATGATCAAGATTTTTTAAATCAAGGTAAGTGCTTCATCAACAAGAGAACATAAAAAATTATCAAGGGGAACAGTTTGTAAAGTGTTCCAACCATAACGCTGCACACCTGAAACTATTACAAAATAATATTATAATGTTAAATGTAAACTGTCATTGAAAAAAAATTTTTAGTAAAAAAAAGGGGGAAGAATAAGAAGAGATTATAGGAACAAAACCAACCAATGAATATACACTATAATTTTCAACTTATTCACAAGTCCTATCATATTAAAAATGTAACATTTTATAACAACTATTGAATTTGATACCTGCTGAATTCCAAGGCACAAGTATAAGATACTGTCTGGATCATATTTTTCACCATTTGGTCTCCGCACCTCTTGGATAAATTGGCATAAGCCCACACTCAACTCAGCAAAAGTGCATGACAAAATATCTTCCTTCAGCTTGACAGAGCGGACTGTGGAAAGGTAGAAGACATCTGAAATATTAACTTATAAAAAATATAATGCCCGCTGGTATGGGTCAGTGGCTGAGCGTCGACCTATGAACCAGGAGGTCACAGTCCAATTCCCAGTCAAAGCACATGCGTGGGTTGTGGGCTCGCCCCAGTGTGGGGCGTACAGGAGGCAGCCAATCAATGATTCTCTTTCATCGTTGATGTTTTTATCTCTCTCCTTTTCCCTTCCTCTCTGAAATTAATAAAAAATTACTAAACAACAAAAAAAAAAGGAAATACAATACCATTTACTTGATTCATTGAATAAACACTGAGTATTGTGCTATCCTGATCTCAAGGTTTTTTTAGTTAAAGAAATAAATACAATGCAGTATGTATGGTGTAACAGGTGCTATAATAGAGGTTATTTAAATGAGATTCTATGAAAGGAAATGAAGGAAATCTAATAAACGAGAAGGGTCAGGTCAGATTCTGGAGAATGTGACACTAATGCTAAACCTTGAAAGGTGAAGAAGAGTTACACAGGTAAATAAAGACTCTGAGCTACTTGTAAAATTTAAGAAAAATAAACAAAATCCTTTATATTTACATAATAAACTGATGATCGAAAGATACAATTTTACCTTTATAACAAACCCTTAAAATTGGGAGTAGTGCCCTGACCGGTTTGGCTCAGTGGATAGAGCGTCGGCCTGTGGACTGAAAGGTCCCGGGTTCGATTCCAGTCAAGGGCATGTACCGTGGTTGCAGGCACATCCCCAGTGGGGGGTGTGCAGGAGGAGGCTGATCGATGTTTCTAACTCTCTATCCCTCTCCCTTCCTCTCTGTAAGGAATCAATAAAATATATTAAAAAAAAAATTGGGAGTAGTATATCAATTTTTCTTTTTAACAATAAGACTTCAATTTCTAAATAATTTTAAACATTCCTTTTATAATCTGAAATTGACAATGATATTATAAGTGACCACAAGGAAACAAAATGAGTTTTACCTCTACAGCCTGGCTCTGAGGATTCTTGGGAGAGTGGATGGTCTTGAGCACTTCCTAAGGGATCAGAACATGGGCTAGATGAGGCATGTTCAATTCCTGAAAGGGAAAATAAATAAATAAATGAGAACTTTAAATAAAAATGGGGAAAAATTAAGTAAAGCCAAAACTAGAGTTTTATGGGATTTTTGACCTAGTATTTATTCTTTTAGAGTAAATTCATTAATTTATTTATTCATTTCCCCTTTATCCCCTAAGTCAAAACACAAATTCATGCTGTGTATTTACCGCCACATTTCAGATCCCCCTGCTCTTCCTTGGCATTTTTCCACTGAACCCAGTTCTTCCAGGCATTTACCCCATACATATATTTCAGTGTCATCCCAGACACTGAGCACCCTTGAAAGGCTCCTTGAATAAGACTCCTGGGCTCCACAGGTACTATAGACTTCTTTCGTCCCTGTCAGAAGTCCAAAAATACAGAATATAAAATTTAGTCTTGGATCGTTAAGAATCAGCGTTCTCAAAGCTAGAAAGGGCATACATTTACACAATATGGAAGTTGTATTAGATCTGAAAGATTCAGAGTTCTTAGAGCTGAAACGACCTTTGGAGAAAAAAAAGAAAGTTGAAATATAGAAGACCGTACGTAATTATTACTAGGATTTGAGTATTTACCATGGGCCAGTATCTGGACCAAACCAGTGGTCGAATAACATTTACTATCAGGTCTGTTTAATGAACACATGAACAGAACATATTTTGGGTATAAAAAAGCCTCAGTAAGTTCTCTAACTATAATGTAATTAAACTAGAAACCAATGATGGAACGATGCTAAGAAAATATTCAAAAACTGGAAATTAAACAGCACATTTATTAATACCCCATGGGTCAAAGAAGAAACCACAAATGCAATTAAAAAATATTTTGAACGTAAGTGAAAATATAAACAAAACATATCAAAATGTTTGTGATGATGCTAAAACAGTGCTTACAAACAAATAGGATTCTACTGAGCCTCCTATCTATCTACTCCAGGACTTCTGTGAGGATCAAATGAGATGAGGCATGTGAAAACGCTTCACAAACATTTGGTTAAACTGTAAAATGTTTGGATATAAAGCAAATTGGGTTCTTGGGCTGAAGAAACTGCAAAGAGGCTAGTTGCTAGGGAGAGGAAGCCGGGTGTTGCGACATCATTATCCGGCAACTGTTTCAGGGCTTGGCTGTGGACCGCATTTTGCGTCATTGGCTCTTGGCAGCATTGGCTGCGATTTGGTGGGGTGTCACTCCGGGGTGGTGGCGGGGCCTGTGTCTCACTGGGGGATGCCACATGTTGGTTTGTCAGGGCCAGGTCCATGGTGCCGCTTATTTTTAAACTAGAGGCCCAGTGCACAGATTCATGCACGAGTGAAGTCCCTTGGCCTGTCCTGCACCCTCTTGCAATTCAGGACCCCTTGGGGATGTCGGACTGCCAGTTGCAACCCGATCCCCACAGGCCAGGCCAAGGACCCCACCAGTGCACAAATCCATGCACTGGGCCTCTGTATGCATATAAGATCTTTCATTAATCTCTTCACGCCCTTCCCCCCTCCCCTTTTCTGAGATCCATCATTCTATTCCATTTTCCCATGCCTGTGTGTTGATCGTCTGCCCCCTGGTGGTGAGTGCGCATCATAGCTATGGGTAAAAGGGACACTTAGGCTTTTATACTAGTACTAGAGGCCCGGTGCACAAAAATTTGTGCACTCGAGGGGGGAGGGGTTTCAAG